TCGACGGATTTGCTCAGCTGAACAGAAGCAATTTTCAAGGGATTCTGCTCGAAACGCAATAGCAGGAATAAGTCAGGTGACAAACTTTCTTTTTCACTTTTGTTCCAGGAAAACTAGATCTAATTAAAGAAATCAATAAAGCAAAGAAACTTAGAGCTCCTGCAGCAAGTATATGATATGTAAGCGTTTGAACGGCGTTCACTGAAACATTTTCATGGGTCACTGCCAGCACGTTTGATTTTATCCTTACAGGTGCTCTAAACCTCTTTTAAAATATTAGAAATGATACGTTCATCTCGACGGATTCAGTCACCTCATCAGATACATTTCTGAATTGACTTTCCTCGAAATCCAACATCAGGAATTAATCAGGTGAAAAACCTATTCCCTTTTGTCACGAAAATGAAACATGACGAAACCAAGGAAATTCAGAACACACTTCGTCAGTATTTGATGTGCAAGCATTTGAACGATTTGACAGGAATATTTTCAAAGAATACAGTCGGCACTTTTGAACTTGCCTTTATGGGTGCTCTAAACCTCTTTAAAATAGAAATGGTACCTTTTTCATTTCGATTCAGCCAACTGATCAGACGACTTCGAACTGATTCTGTAAAAAATCGAACAGCAGCAACGAATCAGGCAACAATTTTTTGTCTTCACTTTCCTCCCTGTAAAACTAGGCGCAATTAACAAAATCAATTCATATAAGAATTAAAGCCACTGTAAGTATCTGATATGCGACCATTTGTACGGCTTTCATGGGAGCAGTTTGCGGTTCAGTTGATTTTGATTTAACAGGTGCTCTAAACTAGTTTTAAGATGTGTCAGATCGTACCCTTTTTCGTCTCAACCGATTCAGCCAGCTGATCAGACGCAGCTTCTAAGTCTTTCCGAACTAAAGCAGCAGAAATGAATACTTCAGAAATGAATTTTCATCATTTAGTAACCGCAGGCGTTTCTGGAATACTAGAATCTAAAAGCATTTTCATTCAAAGTATTCTTGTGCGGACAACGAATCTCGAAGCTGCTCGGTGGCGACGGTAACGGTGCTCGGTGGCGATGCAGATTCACCTGAATGCTACATTGGTTTGCCTTCACTAGAGCCGGAGTCGCATGTCGTGTCTTCTTTTAGAAATCTGAAAAACCGAGAGATGACTAACAAAGGACATAACACCGGCACAAATCCAGACTGCTAAGTTTACGAGCTCGTTTAAAGTATTATACAAAAAACGTAATATGACATTTTACGAGCTATGAATAACTGCGGAAACAAAGCTTATAAAGCGATATGTTCCAACAAAGGTGCTTAATCCAAGAATGAATTTAAACTATTACAGTATCGAATGGTAAACATAACTGCACTATGTGAACAAGTGATATCTGAGCTTGAAAAAGTAATACATTGTCTGACATACTGTGGCATATGAATATGGACTGATATTTCTTATGCTTAAAATGAGTACCAACTACTGAAATTTCATTCGCATTGAGCGTAATGTGGC